TTTAAATAAAAGGCAGCAAGGAGAGCGTTTTTTTGTTGGTTTTTTTTTAAAGTATTTTTTATTGTTCTCTGTGCGTTTGAAAATTGTTTCCCAGTAAATCCAGGCCCTTTGTATTAATTTTACATTTTCCAATGTTACCTTGCCAGGGGCAGGGTTGGCACAACTGGCTCGGGAAAGGAGAGGGAAGGAGAGGGAGAAACCCTGCTCCTTAATTAGCACGTTCCCTATGTGATCAGAGAGCTTATGAGTCAGGTAATGAGCTCGAAGGGGGCTGCAGGACCCCCCCCGCCCACACTGCGTTCCATCTCCCCCCCCTTCCCTTTTCGGGGTGCCTCTGGGGTCACTCTCCATCTCTGCTGCTGTCCTGCCCACCCCAGGGATGCAGGATGAACAGTTAGGGTATTCCATGTGATGAGTTTGAGCCAGTCTCAGCCCAGCTGCATCTGCCACAGGCTCAGGGGGTGTTGGGGAGCCATGAGGTGCTGCTTTAGGTAGGCTGTGGGGACTGTGGTCACCGTCCCCATCCCACCAGGCCTATGCTGACCCCTCCAGACACTGACCAAGCCCTGGAGCCGTGGGGTGACCCCTGTCCCTGCTCAGGCTGAGACTTGTGGGGGGGGTTCTGCTGGGGGGATTGTGCTATGGAGTCCCAAATTAATTAGCAAACAAATTTGCTAATTCAATGAGGAGAGGGAAGCCAAGCTGCCAGGTTGGCTGCTGCCAGAGCCGGGGAATTTGCCCTCGAGTTTCCCTGACTGCGGTGCCCCGAGCACTGCCGGGGTCTGGAGTTTGGGGAGGGGGTCACAAGGGTCACCCTGAGGAGCTGCAGGGGGAGCTGCTGGCATGTGTCACGGAGTTCTCCACCACCGCTAATCCCTTAATCTCTTGGATAATCAGTGCCAAGAACGCAAACGACACCCAGATTGACATCCGGATTGCAGCGCTCAGCTGCAGCGATGCCGGTGCTCTGGTGGGATCGCCAGGAATGATCATTCTGGTGTGGTTTCCTACCAAGTGTCGGTTTGTCAGAGTGAAACAAAGAGGCTCTGGGTTAATGTGGAGGTTAATGGGGTGTTGGGGTGGGATGGGCAGGATCAGGCCCTGGATCATGGTCAGAGCGAGGGGGAGGCACTGGCGCACCTTGCCCAGAGCAGCTGTGGCTGCTCCGTCCCTGGAAGTGTTCCAGGCTGGGCTGGATGGGGCTGGGAGCACCCTGGGCCGGGGGTGAGACTAGATGATCCCTTCAACCTAAACCATTCTGGGATTCCATGATTCCGGCATGCTGAGGTTCTCCAACTTCCACACAGTGTGATCTGATGAGTCGTGACCTTCTGACCCAACTTCTCCCACAGGTTCCACCGTGGAGACTACACGGTGGAGGTGAGCATCAACGACTACCTGGACATCTACTGCCCACACTACGAGGAGCCACTGCCAGAGCGGATGGAGAGGTACATCCTGTACATGGTGAACTACGAGGGACACGCGTCCTGTGACCACCGGCAGCGCGGCTTCAAGCGCTGGGAGTGCAACCGCCCCGACGCCCCCAACGGGCCCCTCAAGTTCTCCGAGAAGTTCCAGCTCTTCACCCCCTTCTCACTGGGCTTTGAGTTCAGACCCGGACACGAGTACTACTACATCTGTGAGTGCTGGGAAGGCGATGGATGAGTTGCAGCTGTTGGCATGAGCGTGACCAGGACTGTCCAGGGACCACGGGGTGATGGGACACTGGTCCCATCCCTGTGGGAACACCTCTGGCACTGATAGCGGTGCTGCACCAGGGCAGTGGTGCAGCCCTACTAGCCCCAGGCGGTGTTCCCGTGCTCTCCTGTGTATTCCCTGCTCACCCATGTATTGCCACGTGTTCCATTGGATTTCTGTGCTTTCCCATGCTCTCACATGTATTACTGCACTTCCCTGTGTATTCCCTTGCTCTCTTGTATATGCCTGTGCTCTCCCATGTATTTCCATGCTCTCCTGTGAAATTCTTGTGCTCACATGTAATTCCCATGCATTCCCGTGTATCTCTGTGCTCTCCCGGGTCTAGGCTCTCCCTTCTCACCCAAACCTGAACCCTGAACTGCCCGACCCGCACTGGGAAAAACTTCCCTGCTGGCGCCCGGCACTGGCTGCAGGACAGGGGTCCCTGGTAGGGAATTTCTACCTCTGGAGCACCCGAGGGAGAGGAGGGAGAGAGGAGCCAGACCAGCTTCCTCGGGAGCCTGCTGGGGTCATGGAAAAACAATCCGGTGGTGCTGGAGCAGGTGCTGGGCTGAGACCCAAGCCCAAGGAGCCGGCGGTGACACAGGAGGCAGGGACGTCGCCGTCCCCTCCGGTGCCGCCGCCACGCTCCTCCGCCTTATCACTTCTCCCTCTTTTTCCTAAAGCAGCTGTTTTCAGCCCACTTAATTTGTTCCTATTATCTGTATTAAATTACCATTTTCCCCCTCTCTCCCTCCCCCCCGTGAAATGTCACCGGCGCAGTAACTGCGGCCACAACTCTCCTTCCCCCTCGTTGGATTTGGTTTTATTTTTTTAGTTTTTAATGTCGTTAGGGAGAGATTACACAGGAGTAAATGGGAAGCTGATCATTGCTAACCCGGTTAGAATTCCCGTCATGCGGAACATTAGAAATTATGCCTCTTTGAGGAATCGTATTTAGCAGACATGAAAGAAAAGAAATTACCTCCTCCTCGAGCCTGCGGATTGGAATCCATTAACCCTCCGGCACAGGGACGCACTCATGTCCTGCCTGGGTCAAGGGCAGGAGCTGGCCCTTGGGACCGAGGCGGGTGGAGCTGGGATGCAGGAGGATGGGATGCTACAGATGGGACGTTGTGGGATGTCTGTGGTGCCACTTATCACTGCACCTTCTCCTGCCCTCATGGGGTGCAGCACTGAGACAGGAAAAGGAAGGGTGGAAAAAAACTCCGTGGAAGGTCAGCAGCAGCCCAGGGGCTGGAGCTGGAGGATGGAGCTGGGATGCTTGTGGTGCTGGGCACAGCATGGTGTGGCACAGCACCTTCTCCTTCCTCTGTGGGATGCAGGACCAAAATGGAAAGGAAAAGAAAAGGGTGAAAGAAAAGCCTCTGCTTTAATTAATAAAATAAAACAGAGAAAATTCAATTCTTTTATAACTACATACATAGCTATATATATATTTTTAAAAAATCCCATTTTCTTGTGCTGAGAGAGGCTTTCACCCTGATAATTACTGCCATTTCTCTCATTCTCCCAGTGTGGATTATGTTTTTGAGACTTGACCCTCATTTTGCTGCTGCCCTCCCAGAACTCACCCGCTTCTCCCCTTTCCCTCCTGCAGCTGCATCCCCCCCAAACATGGTGGACAGGCCCTGCCTGAAGCTGAAGGTTTATGTTCGGCCAACAAGTAAGTGAGAGGTTGGGAGCGACCCCGGGGGGACCCCTGGGTCCTGCCCCATGGGGGGCCCTGGGGTACATCCCAGTGGGGACAGGGACCCACAGGCCTGTTGGAGCCATCCCAGCGCTGTCCAGCTCGTGGTGGACAGATAGACGGAGAAAAAGTAATTAGTAATAAGAATAATAATCATCCCTGTGCTGTGGCCACTTTCCGACTCGCATAAATCAGCCGTTTCAAAAAACAAATTAATAATTTTCTTCCCCTGTTAACATGTAATTAGCAAATGGCAGTGGCTCTCCCTGGGGACGGTGGAATGTCACCGTGTAACCGATGTCTCTCGCCATTTTTCCTTCAGTGGTTTTAAAATAAAACCCAACATAACAGAACCATCTGTAAAAACTTGTCACGGTCCCATCAGGACTAGGGGAGAAATCTCTCCTGATAGGATTTTTTAGTATGTTAATAATAATGGGATTTTATTCTGTCTTGCAGAGGGGAGGGGAAGCGGGAGAGGGCTGAGCCCCTGGGGATGGCAGAGGGTCTCTGGGGGGGCATCTGGACACCCCTTGACTGTCCCTGGGATGAGTCCCCATGGTGCTGAGCATCACTGCACCTCTGCCAGGGCTGGAGCCAGCCTGGATCACAGCCTGCCCACCGGCTCACACATCCCTCTCTTCCTGCTTTTCCGCAGACGATTCCCTCTACGAGTCCCCGGAGCCCATTTTCACCAGCAACAACTCCTGCTGCAGCCTCAGGGTTCCGCCGGCCGCGCTGACCGTCATGCCGGTCGTCTGGACGCTCCTGGCCTCGTAGCACTGACCCCGGGAGCGGCTCCGCTCGCCCTGGTGGTGCCTCGGGAGCTCCCCGGTGCTGCTGCCAGAGTCTCCGTCTCGGCACGGTCGTTCCGCCGGGAGCAGTGCCGGGCTGTCCCGTGGGATGGATCCTGGCTCCCAGCCCTGCGGCTCCTGCACCGGTTGGGTGTTGTTTTACGTTTCTAGACCAAATACAGAGTCCTCGTCCATCTGGTTGTTT